GCTTCTCACCTGCATCTCCACCACCAACATCACCCTTGTTCACAACCCTGCTGCACATGTCCACCAGCAGCGGGAACGTGGGACCAGCCAGCACCGTCATCCATGACTTGCGCAGCTCTTGCATGTCATCTTCTCCAACCTCAAACCCGCCGCCTGCTGTACACTCCGAGTAAATGCCTTCAATCTCGCCACGCAGTTCACTCATCATTTGACCCTGCTCCCGCACACACGCCATATGCCCATCCTCGGGCAACCCGGCCTTGCCCGCTGTCGCCTGCACGCCATATGTGCGTGTCGGCGCCTTCACCGCTACCTGCACCCCGCGTGTTCGACGGCTTGCCGCTGGCTTCTTCGGCTTGGTCGTGCCTGCAGAGGAACTTGCTGTTGTTCCTCTTGCTGCTGGCGTTGCTGCTGATGCTGCTATTGCTGCTGTCGGCTTTATCGTTGTCATCGTGGCAGTCGGTCCTGCTGTAGTCGTGGTGCCCTTGCTGCTGCTCTTGCCGCTGCTCTTGTTGCTTGCTACTTGTGCTGGTGTGCTCGCCGGCCTCGCCTGTGTTCCAGTTGTGGCTGTGACAGGTGCAGCGGTGCTTGTGCAAGCTCCCTGCGCCGTTGGCGGTGCTGCTTGCGTCGATACGGTCGCTGTGGTGCTCGAGGTTTGCGCGGGTGTCTGCCTGTCGTTGCGCGCGGCCGCTCTGCCCGTTGTGTGTGCGCCTGTCCTAGGACTTGGCTGGCTTTCCATTTCTCTCGCCGCACTTGTCGCCGCTGCCGACTGTGCCTGTCGCATCTTTCGTTGCTGCTGCTGCTGCTGCAGTTGTCGCCGACGTTCGATGCGTTGTCGTCTCTCCTCTTCTTGCTGCATCTGACGCTGTCGCTCTTCCTCCTCTTGCGCTTGCAGTTCCTGGAGCTGCTGCAACTGCATCACTGCTTGTTGCTGCAGGCGGCGGCTTTGCCGGCTGCCCGGCCGCAGCAGTTTCTTCACCCTGCGACCGCCCCCACGCTGACTGATCAGCCACTTGGCTGGCTGACTTGCCACGGTTGCTTCACTCTCCTCGCCACCACCTTCACTGTTGCTGTCAGCCTTGTTGCTGCTGCTGGTGCTGTTGGCGGTAGCTGCTTCGTCCGTGCGGCTTTGTGATCGTGCGCGTGTGTATCTACCTGCGCTCCTCTCCACTAATCTTGAGCTTCCACGCCCGGCACGCCCGCTTGGTCCCGCAACTCGCTGCCCCCTCCCTCGCTGCCCCCTTCCTCTTCCCCTTCCCCTTCCTCTTCCCCTTCCTGCTGGCCGCCCACGCTTGCGCGCTTCGCCGGAGCTTCTTCGCTGCTGCAGCGGACTGTCGTCTGTTTGCGTCTGCTGCCGCTCGTCGTGTTCTTCCGTGGTGCTTTGCTGGTCCTGGGCACCGCCTGGTGGCTGGCTTGCTGCCACCTCTTGCAAGCGGCTGCTGCGGCGTCGTGACGCAGCCCGTGCTTCGCTGCTCCTGCGTCTGCCCCTCCTCGGTTTGCTCGACGCTGTTGGTCGCGGTGGCGTTGCTGGTGCTGATGGAGTTGCCGTGACTCGATCCTGATTGCTGCTGCTGCTGCTGCTGCTGCTGCTGCTGCTGCTGCTGTTGTTGTTGTTGTTGTTGTTGTTGTTGTTGTTGTTGTTGTTGTTGTTGTTGTTGTTGTTGTTGTTGCTGCTGCTGCTGCTGCTGCTGCTGCTGTTGCTGCTGCTGTTGCTGTCGTGAGAGTGATCTTGGGCTAATTCTGGATGTATCCTCGCGGATGTGCTGGTGGTGGCGGGTGCTGGTTGGTCGCTGTTGCTGGCGCTTACAACAGCTCTTGCTGGTTCACTTGTGCGACCCAGTGCGCCTTCAACTGCTGCTGTGGTGTACGCCTGCATTACTTCAGTCGGCGCAGTCGTGCTGGTGGCTGATGTTGCTGTTGTTGACGTTGTCGGTGCTGTTGATGCAGGCTCCCCGACACCATCGTCGACGCCACCGCACATGAGCAGTGACGGCGTTCCCGGCTGGGTGGACGTGTCGGAGTCATCATCATCAGATTCCTCCTGCTCAGCCGGTGGCTGTTGTTGTTGTTGTTGTTGTTGTTGTTGTTGTTGTTGTTGTTGTTGTTGTTGTTGTTGTTGTTGTTGTTGTTGTTGTTGTTGTTGTTGTTGTTGTTGTTGTTGTGCTGGTGGAGGTGTGAGCCCTGTTTGTGATTGTTGCAACGCTGGTGCTGCCGTTGGCCGTGCTACTTGCTGCGCTCCTGGTGCCGAACATGTGTTTGTGGCTGTGTTGGCGTCGGACACTCGCTGCTGTTGCTGTTGCGCTTGCTGTTGCTGGTGCCTGTGTTGCAGTGGTAACTCCTGCGAAAACCACGTTCCTCGCGCATCATACTCAGCCAGCTGCGTGTCCTCCACAAGAGATGAGGGTTCAAGCTCGCCCAGTGTATTTGTCGTATGAGCCGGTTCTTGTGTGCTGCTGTCTGGCGTCTGAGACAACAAAGACATGGAGTTTGGTGCTGACACCGAGCTGCTCTGCACTTGCTGCTGCTGCTGCTGCTGCTGTTGCTGCTGCTGCTGCTGCTGCTGCTGCTGCTGTTGTTGTTGCTGCTGCTGTTGTTGCTGTTGTTGTTGAATTGCTGGCACCTGCGCTTGGCCAACGGACAACGCCGGTTCTCTTGCCGCTGCCAACGGTTGTGACACTGTGCTGCATGTGCTCGTCGTGGCTGTGTGCTGTGTTTCACTGGAATGCGCTGACGTTGGGTTTGAGATTTGGCTCGTCAACTGCCATGATGGAGCCCTGCTCGGTGGCCCATAAACATCCGAACCAAGCACCCACTGCGATGCCGTCTGCGTGCACGTTTGGGAACAAGGAAGCACACGTGAGCGAGTGAGAAGAGAAGAGCCATGTACACCTTTTCACCCTAGATCAGAGGACAACATGGCAACACGGTGCGTCGTTTGCTCAGGCATTCCTTGCAAAGTGGTGTCACATCACAGCCACAAGAAGGCACACAAACTTGGTTGCTCACCTGTGACTCTGGCTGTGAGTCCTCCAGCTGCGAATCCTGGCACACGGGCTGCCCTTGGTGAAAGCGAAGCTTCTTCCGCGCTGCTTTGGCCTCCGCGGCTGTGGCGCCTGTCAGGCGACGGCAGAAGCAAGTGTGAGAAAGCGAAACGATGAGTGAAAGCAAGTGTTCCTGATTGAAAAGGAGAAAGGAAGACAGGGGGGCCTGAACATGAAACGTCGGAACAACCAAACACGCTCACATGACGTTCACCTCCGCGCGACAAATCCAGGACCATCTCCCTGCACACTGACTCGCTCCCCGCTTCAACTGACCATAAGCCGTTGGGAACATGTCCGCGGCAACATGAAGGAACTCCTTGCACTCAGACGGGGTGGCAAACTCCACTTTGTAGGCCAGTGGGCTCTGAGGGTCCGCGCGCCACTCGATCCGCGCGCTGTTCTTCAAACCAAGGGCCACCAGGTGCTGCGCGGCATCAGACGACGCTATGGCATGCATGGTTGCCGTTGTGGCTCTGTCGCGGAAGACCAAGCCATTCTGGCTCACGCAGATACTGTCGGCGGGAAACGTCTGGGAACATGGGAACATGAGTTGGTGTGTGAGAACGGGACGGGAGGGCAGGCACAGGGGTGAGGGGCATGTGAGTGGGAGAACAATACCACGGGCTGAGCTATGGTGAGAGAGGTGCTGGCCTGTTGACGGTGCGGACGGGCGCAGGACAGCTTGCTTTCTTGTACCAGAAGACAAGCAGCAACAACAGTGAACGCCACACGAGGGAAGGAGACAAGCGCACCTCCCATCGCTTGGCGTGTCCTTGGACCAGGAAAGATGTCGTGACGAAGGTTGCCTCCATCCTTGGCGCACGCAGGGTTCGAAGAGCGAGGTGGGGGAGGGGACTGCGCTGGAGAGGCTAGCTAGAAGCTGGAATTGTGGAAATGGTGCTCGTATGTGTGTGTGTGTGTACCTGTGTACGTGCGTGTGTGCATGTATGAGAGAGAGAGAGAGTGTGTGTGTGGTGTGTTGTCGTTGATCGTGGCCTCAGCGCAAGCACAAAAGGTTCGCGCGCACTGGCTTGTCTCAGTCTGCTTTCTTTTGCTTGGTTGTTGAACTGAAACACTTATGTATGACAATGATTTTCGCGCCAAAACGGATAGCACAGGATGTTGGCGCCAAAACAAAGCATCATTCCAGCCAGCTTTTGAGCTTTCCAACAGAAAAGGGTAGCAAGGCGCAAACGAAAGGACAAAACATGGACACTCGTGTGTACAACATAAGGTGGCGGTGTGGATGAGTCCTGGTGGTGGCGGCAGTGATCAGAATCGGCGTGCCCCCGGCTCTTGGCTGATCAACCCCATGGCTGAGGCAATACGCCAGGTGTGTACTCCTGTAAAGTGTTCCATGCACGCCACATGTGTGTTCATGAGAGTTGTGAATCAGTCGGAACTCACAGCAAGCGACACACATGCACACGCACTGCCGTTCACACACATACATACACATTGCCGCACACACACACACACACACACACACACACACACACACACAGAGGTGCACCTGGTAGTCGAGGGTACGAAGCAGCACTTGCTGGAATTGAGCCTGCCGCTCCAAATCATCTGGTACAAGCTCGCCTTCCAACGCCAATTCTGTCCTGTGTTGTCGAGCGGAGTGCAAAACAGAACACTCGAATGTGAATCTCAAAGGTGCACAAACGCAGCCACGCACACCTTACAGCAACATCCACAACACAACCACACACACACACACACACGCACACACGCACACACGTGCACAGCAAAGCATGAACACACACACACACACACACAGCACAAGCTGATGTGATGACATACGTGGTGTTGCCGCGAGGTTCCCGTCCAACGCGCTTGTAGAGTTGCTGCAGCCTGCGATGAATCGCATCCACATACTGTGTGCGCGGAGAGAGGCAAAGTATGAGGGAGTACAGCAACGGTGTACGCCAAGTGGGTGAGCGAGCACCTGATCGCGCAATAGCCACAACACACAATACACAATGCACTTGCGTACAAGCAAGCACCCACACGGATCCCGGCGTGACGCACCTCCAAATCTTTGGATGGCTCCACCCCAATTGGTCCGCCAATCATGCCCCGCTGCTCCTGATCTTTCCTGAGAGCAAGGCGATGGACCTCCATTCGAGTCTGCCGTGCAAGCTCCTCCCGTTTGTTGTGGATGGCCTCTTGCATCGCCGCCACTGCATGAAGGAGGCAGACGCGAGACACGCGCGTGAACGCACGCAGATGCTCACACACGCACGTAAACACATGCACGTCAACAGAACACATTCAGATTCTTACACACACACGTAAGCACGCACACACACACACACACAGACACACACACATAGACACAGACACACACACACACACACCTGCGTTTGTCTCTCGTTGGAGAGCCTGTTGCTTCAGGCGAATTAGCTCCCGCAGTGCAGCGGCACGTGCTCGGTTCAGTTCGTCTTCCTCATCAGCGGCGGCGTCGTCGTCGTCATCTGCCTCCGAGCGAGCGGTCGTTGGCGTGCGAGATGCATCCGTGTGTTCCCGCAGGCGAGAAAATCCAGTTGAGGCGCGACTATACGTATGCGAGGTCACACGCATTGAGCATTGAAGGAGAAAGCATGGAGGGCGTGGAAGAGGGGCAGCAGCCAGTGTGACAGACGCACACACACACGCACACACACACAGACACACACACACACAAGTGCACACAGACACACAGACACACACAAGTGCACACAGACACAGACACACACACACACAAGTGCACTCACACAAGTGCACACGCACCTAGATTCGACGCTTTGGCGGTAGAGGTCCTCTGCTTGCTGTTGTGCTTCTTTACGCTTCATCGCTCGCTGTTTCCGCTGCTGCTCCAGCTGTTCCATCTCGCGCTGCGCAGTTGTCAGCAACAAACCACAAGCGGCATGTTAAGTATGGGCGAGCAAGCCGCTTGTGGCGTCGTCACAAACCCAACGAAAAAACCAAGCAACTACGCAAACAGATTCAAAGTACATTGCATGTCGGCTTACGCATGCGCACCTGTCGTGCAGCTTCCAATTCTTGCTCACGCTTCTCTCTCCTGATGCGGTCGTGACACAGCTTGAGGAGATCGGGCCTGCAGATCACGCGAAGGAACACACGAACGTTCAATGAGCATTAAGTAAACACAGACACACACACACACAGGCACAGACAGACAGACACACACACACATACGGACACAGACAAACAGACACACACACATGTACAAATGACGAGCAAGCCAGCACGCAGAGACTAGAGGATGCACGGGCACGTGGCTAAATAGGTGCACGTACGGGGACAAGAGTGACCAGAGCCGGAATGTTTTGTCATCAGAGCCAGTCCCAAGCAGCAGTCCATCCGATGAAAACGCTGTCAACGCACACAAGTAGTACAAACAACGACCACAAAGCTAATGAGATGGGAAAGACTGGGGCAGCTGCATCGCCGCAACAAACGTCTAAACTCAAAGCAATGAGCAGCATTATTGCACTCGCTTTCTCCTTCCAGTGCGGTGCCTGTCACGCTGTCATGTTTCAGCTCGTTCATCATACCGCAGGAGCCAATGTAGCTCTTATGGGCCTGGAAGCTGAGCAACAGCGTGTCTGGTGCCTGCGGGTCCCAAAACTCAACGGCACCGCTTCCCGTGCCTGCAATGCAAGCAAGCAAGCAAAAACACACATCAACGTGGTGTGGCGATCAGGGAGACGATGATGGAAAAACACAAAGTAGGGAAGAAAAGGAAGGCAAGGAGAGAGGCATGGGGTATGTGCAAGTACAGACAGACACACACACATACATACATACATACATACATACATACATACATACATACATACATACATACATACATACATACATACACACACACAGACAGACAGACAGGCACACACACACAGACAGACAGACAGGCACACATACATACAGACAGACAGGCACACACACACACACACACACACACACACACACACACACACACACACAGACAGACAGGCGCGCGCGCGCACACGCACACACACACACACATGCACGCACACGACACAGACGCACGCACCCAATGCAAGCAGCGTCGAGTCGCGAGAAAACACGCAGCACCAAACGGGGGAGTTGGAGGCGCTCTTGATCACGTGCAGCACGTTGCCAGAAGCTGGATCCCACAGGATGGCCGTGCGATCGTGCGAGGCAGACACGAGCATGCCGCCATCCAGGGAGAAGGCGACAGAGACGACGGGTCCTGTGTGTCGTGTCAAGACCCGAACAGGGTGCTCTTGCCCAATGGGGCTTGCTTCACGTGCACGCGAGTCTGCGTGTTCTTCCCGCCCTGCCTCCGCCCCAAAGAAGCTGAATTTCTTCTGTCGGACCTTGGCCTTTGCCTGCGTGCATGCATACATTTTTAAAAGGTGAGGAAGCACGGGTTGTGAGTCGTAACTCAAAATCGTACGATGCCAGGCGCGCAGCAACAGATGTGAAGTGTGAGTGCGAAGGTGAACTGACGCAGCGCAGCAAGCGCACGTGCGCACACCTTTCGCAGCGCGGTTTGGCCCTCCCGGGATTGAAACGTCCGTGTCGCAGCCTGTGCTGCCATCTTCTCGCTGATCAGTGACAAGAGATGGTGTAAAAGCAACGAGGTGAACATGATTTGGGGGGGGGGGAAGGCAGACAAAATCGAAATTGAAGGAAGCATGTGAGGAAGGAAGCAACGGTGAACGCAGATGTAGATACACGTTCGCAGAGGTCAAGCGCAGATGCACAACTAGCACACACATATGCACACACGCACACAAAACACACGCACACACACACACACACACACACACACACACACACACACACACACACACACACACACACACACACACAAAACACGACACGCGACGGAGCCACACCTTCGTTCAAGCTTGCGCATGATGTTTGAATCTTCATCCAGCGACCAAAGGCGAACCGTGTTGTCCATGCTACCCTCTGCTAAGAGCGTGTCCTGAGGATTGATGGCCACACAGTAGATTGGGTGGACAACTCCATGCTGCAAACGACAACAACACAGGTGTGGTGTGTGTCGTGGTATTAGGCTAAGACTGACACCGGCATGGAGCAGCGAAAAGAAAACAACGCAAGGCGAGCCCAATGCGTGTCAGCCTTGGTCCAACATCATTGTCGCCACATTTTGCGTTGCTTGCAAGCCAGCAGGCAAGCAAGCAAGCAAGCAGGCAAGATCTGGTGTCTGGCAAGCAGAAGCGAGGTGGCAAGAAGCACGCTCAGAGGCATGCATGCTTGCAGGCAAGAGACACGTGCGAGTGCACGGCACCTTAAAGTAGTCGAGCAGTTGCCCAGTGTTGGCATTCCACAGCATGATGCGCTGGTCGCGGCCACCAGATGCAAGGATGCTTCCGCTGGCACTGTACACCACAGCCCACACGGGTCCCTGGTGGGCGAACATGCATGCCCCAGAAGCAACAGCCAACCCGACACAAGGACGCAAATCACGACAACATATTGGAGAGAACGAAACAACACAAACATGGAGCGGCGATTTGAAGGCGTGAACATGTGAAGGACGGCCCCAAATACAAGAAGGAGCAACGCAGCATTGCAGCCTGCGCTTCTCTGCGTGCACGCATCGGTCTCGCCGCCACTTCATGACTGGGAGTTGATCCATGCTGTCATGAATCGCCACTTCCTTCAAATACAGCAAGTCTGTCACAGGCGCTCACGTTGTGTGCTTCGAGGTGGTGAACAAGGTTTCCGGTCCAGGGGTCCCAGATGCAGACGTGGCCATCCCAACCGCCGCTGGCCAGCCGGGAGCCGCCAGGGGAGAAGCTCACGGACCAGACGGCGCGGCGGTGCTTGCGACAAACGAAGGTGATGTCGCCGGTGTCTGCGTCCCACAAGTGGACGGTGCTGTCATCGCTGCCTGTGGCCAGCAAGGAGCCTGCGCTGGAGAACGCCAAGCACGTCACCTTCCCCGCCGTCCTTCGCGTGTGCTTCAGCTCCGCTCCATCCCGCGACAGCCGCATCTCCGTGCGAACCCGAGCGTGAGCGCTGACGTGCCGTGCTGGTGCTGGTGCTGGTGCTGAGCGCGATGGGTGCGCCATCGCTGTTTTGTCCTGGGTTGGCGACAGCAAAAAAATCAACCAAGAAGGACTCGCCCGCCGTCGTTTCTTTTGGCAGCAACAATGATGACAAGGAGCAGGTGAGACAAGACATTGCGGATGCATGAATGAAATGACATTTGCTGGTGTGCATGTGTGCGTTGCTTTGCGTTTGGTTGCTTCGGGTGCAGTGGTTGGTTGCTGGTGGGCAGCTCATCATTTCTTTTGTATTCTGTGCAAACAATGGTGGTGAACTTGCTGCTGCTGGCTGGTTCTTCTTGCTGTGTTCGTCGTGCATCCGCCCGTGTCCACAGGATGCCATTTCTCTTTCGCTCCTGTTTCCGGCACACCTCTGCTGCTTCTACTCAGCCAAAAAGGATGCTCTCAACAGCAAGCCACATGGACAAGTGGGTTCCAGCGAGGGTGCATGCTTTCGTGCGTGTGTGCGTGTGTGTCTGCGTGTGCGCGCGTGTGTGCTTGTGTGTGTGTGTGTGTGTGTGTGTGTGTGTGTGTAACCCCTCTCTCTGCCCTTCCCTCCTTCCCTCCTTCTCTCCTTCCCTCCTTCTGTCCTTCCCTCCCTCTATCCCCCACTTCTCTCTCTCTCTCTCTGTGTGTTTGCAGTGGGAACGGCGCCGGCTCCCCCATGCTGACGCCACCCATGGTTCGCAAACGCACCTAATATGTGCTTGCTCATCACAACAATCATCACCCACACCTGCAGGTTCAAGTACGTCGTCCTTGGCGGCGGCACGTCGGCCGGGTATGTGGCCAAGGCATTTGCAGACAAAGGAAGGGGCAAGGACGAGCTTGCCCTCATCTCGCGCGACACCGCACCTCCCTTTGAGCGGCCCGCGCTTTCCAAGGGCTTCCTCAACGCCTCAAAGCCAGCTCGGTGCGCCTACCGTGCACGTGCCCTGACAACCGTTTCCTCAACACAACAACCCAGCAGTGCCTGTGCCGCGTGCTGGAGAATTGTCCTTGCCTTCCACCGTGATTGTTGGACTTGCTGCGCTTCTTCGTTCTGAGGCACACCTCGCTCACGGGCAGTTACGCCGCCAACCCATGCAACACGCTACAGGCTCCCGGGCTTCCACACCACGGTTGGCACTGGGGGCGAGCCCCAAGATGAAGCCTGGTTAGTTGTTTGTTATTGTCTGTGTGCGTGTGTGCGTTCGTAAGTTTGCGCGCTTTGCGTGTGCTTTGTGTTTATGTGTGTGCTTTGTGTTAATGGATCTGTTTGTGATTGCATGTTTCTGTCTGCATCTGCGCATCTGCGCGCTTGTGTCACGTTGTGCATGTGCGACTGAACGTGTTTGCCTCGTGTTCCCGGTGCACACACGCACGCACGCACAACTGGCAGGTATGTGGAGCATGGCATCACGTGGCTTGGCGAGCAAGACGTCACCAGCGTTGACTTTGACAACCACGTCATGTCCACGGCGCGCGGGCACAGCATTTCCTTTGAGAAGCTCATCATCGCCACAGGCGTCGAGGTACACACATGTCAGGGAAGGGAACTTGTGTGCGTGTTTGTGTGTGTGTGTGTGTGTGTGTGCGTGTGTGTGGGTGTGTGTTTGCTTGTTTGTCTGTGTTTGTGTGTGAATGTGTGTTCAGTAGTGTGTTTGCTTGTTTGTCTGTGTTTGTGTGTGAATGTGTGTTTATTAGCGTGTGTGTCGTCCCCTTGAGCGGTGATTGAAACAGCATGTGCGGCAGATGGCTGGTCATATCTTCAACGCTTGTCTTCTCTGCTCCGCCCCCCCCACAAATCTTCGCAGTCCTCTCACCTCCCTGCGGACAAAGTCGATGACCGTGGCGACATCCTTTACCTGCGCAGCCTCGCCGACGCAGAGCGCCTGTCACAGGTGTGGTAACATGCGGCATTGGGTGTCAGGTCCGTGTGGAGTGTGTGTGTGTGTGTGTGTGTGTGTGTGTGTGTGTGTGTGTGTGTGTGTGTGTGTGTGTGTGTGTGTGTGTGTGTGTTATCCTTGCCTTGTCAGGCGTCTCCTCGATCGTATTCACTCATCACACACGCACACACACACAATAACACAATAACACCATACACGCATGCACATATGCACACACACACAATGCACACACACACACACACACACACACACACACACACACACACACACACACACACACACACACACACACACACGCAACGTACGCACAGGCGATGGCTTCACACCGCGGTGGGCATGCGCTGATGATTGGCGGCGGGTACATTGGCACCGAGGTCACCGCCAAGCTCATCGAAAATGGCCTGCAGGTGCGTGTGTATGCTTGTGTGGACATGTACACATGTATGCATGTGTACATTTGTGTTCGTGGATGTGAGGTTATCAGCGAGTGCGATTTTGTCAGCACGTACGCGCGTGCAAATGCCGACACCGTCACCTTCATCTGATTCTCATATCACCCTGACAACCCTTGCATCCCATTGAACCCCCCCCCCCTCCACAACACGCAACATCACGTGCGCGCAACTGCAGGTGACGATGGTGTTTCCGGAGGACCGCCTGATGAACCGGCTGTTTTCTCCGCAGCTCGCGGAGGTGTACGCAAAGGCGTTTGCAGATCGCGGTGTCTCGTTTGCAAAGGGAACACTCAAGTCCCTCCAGCATGATGCACAGGGTAACGTCACTGGCGCCATCCTCAATGACGGCAGCACGTGAGTAAAAATGTGAATTGTATGTGTGTGTTTGTGTCTGTGTGTCTATGTGTGTGTCTGTGTGTGTACGTGTCTGTGTGTGTATGTGTCTGTGTGTATGTGTGTGCTACTAAATCTGCTTACGCGTGCAACATACACAGACATACATGCTGTGTGTATGGTCGTGAACGCCCACTTTCGAAGCGCGTTTGCCACGGCCAAGTCTTGCAGCAGACATGCACATACTCTTGCACTCAACTGCATCTCCTCTCACCTTCCCTCCCTCTGTTTTAACCCCAAACCATCCTCCACTATGCACGCTTTGTGTTTGGCTGACTGCAGCGTGCAGTGCGACCTGGTGGTTGCTGGTATTGGAGCTCGCCCAGACACGTCCCTCTTCGATGGCAAGCTAGAGACAACAGCGGGCGGTCTGAAGGTGAACGGGCAGCTGCACACGACCGCACAGGACGTGTATGCCATTGGCGACATTGCCGCCTTCCCGCTCGTTCTCGAGGGCGGAAAGCACGTCCGCCAGGAACACGTGCAGAACGGTGTGTGGTTGTGTGTGTGGGTTGTGTGTGTGTGTGTGTGTGTGTGTGTGTGTGTGTGTGTGTGTGTGTGTGTGTGTGTGTGTGTGTGTGTGTGTGTGGTTGTGGGTTGTGTTTTTCGTGTTTGTTTTCATCCGTGTGTGTATCCACGCACTTCCCGCTTCTATTGACACCTTTCTCACCACCACCATCATCATCACCACCACCCCCAGCGCGCGAGACTGCGCGCCACATTGTGGATGTGTTGCTGGCGGAGGAGGACGGGCGCCCTGCTCCGGCCTACGACTACACACCATACTTCTACAGCCGCTGTCTCAACTTCAACTGGAAGTTTTATGGCGTCAACGAGGGCGACATCATGCACTTTGGCGTCCTGGCGTAAGTCAAGCGTGTGTGCGTGTGTGTGTCTGCATGTTGTGTGCGTTTCTGCGGTTGTGCAAGTGTGTGTGTGTGTGTCTGTGCTTTTCATTCGTCGCACCAACTTGAGTTGAATTCATTTGTGCATTCCCCAACTCACGCATGCACGCACATGTGCATTCGCTCACTCACACATGCACACTCACACGTACCCCTATCACCACACCGCTCACACCCCATTTCCCCCTCTCCCTGTGTGCAGTGAGGGCGAGAAGTATGGTGCCGTGTGGGTGCGCGACGGTCAGATTGTTGGCACGTTCCTCGACAACGGTACACCTGATGAACACGAGCGCTTCAAGCACGTTGCGCGCGAACGCCCCGCTGTCACGGGCAAGGGCGACGTGCAGCGCATTGTGGAGGGCGTTGTGGGCCAGGAGCTTGCAAGCACGCTGCAGTAGACGGGAAGAGGCTTGCTGCCCCGCCCACTCCCCGCACTCGCACTTGTTTGTTGAAGTGGCGTTTTGATGAGTCAAATTTCACGGCCGTATGCGGCTGGTTGTGGTGTGGCAATCGTGTTTGTGCTATGTGGTCTGGTGTTTGCGTTGCTTCTTTGCTGCTTTGTCCTATTCTTACACGTGCTGCAACAACGTGATTTTGTTCTTTTTCTCTATTGGTGAGAGTCCAAGCAGCAGAACATAAACTGCTCCGTAACACAAAACATGAGAGAAGCTTCAAGCCAACAGGGCAACATGGCAAGTCATGTCACATCACATGTCACAGCATCAGGTCACCGACAAGACGAAGAGCAAACGCACACACACACACACACACACACACACACACACACACACCCACACAACACACACACACACACACACACACACAGCAAACGGACACCACGTGCAGCACGTCACTCGGTGGTGGTGTGCGCGCGCTTGGCTGGCGGCTCCCCAGTCTCCGTGCCAGTCTCCGTGCTAGCATGTGCTTCGTCCACCACGACATTGACTGGCTGCTGAGGCGACGTGGCTACGGTGGCACCGGCCGCGCCAATTGCTTCGTTGCTGTGCCCGCTGTCACTGCCGCTCGTGTTGCCCTCGGCACCAGCAGTGCTCGCAGCAGTCGCTTGTTCTCCTCCCTGCTTTTCACTTTGGCTCTGCTGCTGCTGCTGCCGTTCCTGCTGCTGCTTGTGGGCTTGGGTCGGTTGCTGTTGTGGCAGAGGTTGTGGCCCTGGCTGTGGCTGTGACTCCTGCACGCCACTGTCCCCGCCAACGCCAGCACCGCTGTCGTTCTCGCTGCGTGTGGGCGTTTGTGCTTGTGAGTGCGGCTGCGGCACGTGCTGGCCCTGAACGGCAGGGCTCTGTGCAGGCTGCCCTTGCGGCTGTGGCGTCATCAGGGGTGGTGGTGGATGAGCCGGGGTCCCATCACTCGCTGAATCACTCGCAGCAGTTGTCGCAGCAGTATCAGGGGCCTGTGGGCCCTCGCCTGTCTGCTGCGACTGGGCCTGGGTGTCCTTGTCCTGCTTGGCGCGTCGCTTCTTCCTGCCTGCATCGGTCCGCTCAACCATGAGCGAATACACGGCGCCCGTGTGCTGACACACGCCAGTGTTGCTGACGGCAAAGTCAAAGCACGTGCAGTCAAAGACGTGGATGCACGGAAGAACGCGACAGTGCATGCAGGTCGGCACGGCCTGGCGTGTCACCGTGTGCACCGTCGTGTTCGACTGATCGTGTTTCACCTTGAAAAAAAAAAAGATGAGCGTGAATGTACGCGTGCGTGTGAGGCCATGTAAGGCGGAAGAGGGAAAGAGACAGTTATGGAGAGGCGAGAGCTATGCTTTGCAAACAAGGTGATGCGACGTTCCGACCCAGTTTGTTTGTTGTTAAGGTGACTAGCGCACACGCACACACACACCACACCTTGAAGAGTGCCGGGCCTGCCTGCTCGATGTTGAGGGGGCTGATGACCTTTCCTTCGCGAATGGCCTGCGCGGCCTTGAGCGCCAACACCACGCTGTCACCTTCCTCACGAACGCGGTTGGCAAGGTTCTGCTGCCACGTGTCCAGCTTGAACAGACTCTCCACCTGCTGCTCCAGGGAGGCCGCGGCCGTATCGCACACCGCCGTCTCGCGCACAGCAGCCTGGTACTCCTGCAATGGTGATGATGTTGGTGATGATGTTGGTGGTGGAAACGAGGAGAGCAACTGGTTGTGAGCAATCAGCAAAACGATGGGGTAAGAATCTCCAGACGAGCTGCCTCCCAAACACAGACACACACAAACGCGCGCGCACACAGACACACAGACACAGACACACAGACACACACAAACGCGCGCGCGCGCACAGACATGCACGCACACACAGTGTTCCTGCCACTCACGCTGAGGATGTTCTCGGTGGAGGGGTCGCTCGGTTCGCGAAAAGCGCGGGCCCACAGCGTCCGCTTCTCGTACATGTGTTCACTCGCCCATTCCACCAGGTCGGGCTCCGTTGGCTTCCACAGCCGGCAAAACCCATCCCATGACGCCTCAAACGCCTGCGGGTTCTGTGCGCGAAGAAGATGCACAAGTGCCTTGAACGCCTTGCGGCCTTGGTGAGGCGTGCTCGCCCGAGCAGTGGCCTCTGTTTGCCTGCGGAGCAACACGCACACACGCATACACACGCACACACGCATACACACGCACATGCGGGTTGAGAGAAACGAACAAACAGGGGAGCAAGTGGAGAGAGAGAGAGAGAGAGAGAAGGGGGGAGGTGACAGGGTTTTAGTGTATGGACTTGGAGATTTGTTTCAGAAATCTGACCAACATTTCCATCACGCGAGCACAAAACACACGCACACACGCACGCACACAAGCAAGCAAGAAAACGTGCCAACGAGCAAGAAAGGCGCACCAGATATCGCCGTGTGCCCACGTGCAGAGAAGCGGCCTCACAGACGCGCCCCAGGTCTCGCGCGCAATTTCAAAATCCGCGGCATCCGTCTGCTCGTTCATGAAGAGGTATGTGTGCGGCCTGACACCGAGTGGCACGGTGGTGCTGGCGAAGAAGAGGCGGGTTGTGCTTGCCGTCTTCTTGTTGGAGATGCAGTGTGCCAGCGCCACTGCATTGCCGGCAGGGCTCTCACCAACGAGCGTCATTGTCGGGTAGTGGTACTTGTTGTTCTGCGCCGTAACAGCAAGGAACACCCCGCGCGACCCACACTCCTGCATGACATGAAAGGGCAGTGTTGTTGTTGGTTGAATTTGGGAGAGTGAGGCAGAGAAAACGTGGCTTCGTGTTTTGAACTTCAAACGCTACGGAGAAGGGGGGGGGGGGATGAATAAACACTTTGACACCCACACACCCAAAAGCATACGCAGCAAGCGCTTTCCCTCCCACAAACGCAGATACTCACACCCACACACCCACACACTCACACCTTCATGAGCTGCTTCTGGAAAGCCGTCTGAAGAACAAGGACGAAATCTTCAGCGGCAAAGTCGGCGGTGACGGGCATGCCCTGAACAGATGGAAACGTGCGGAATGCGGGCTCGCCAGGCGCCTTCAGGCTCACGATTGCGCCAGGGTCGTGGTGTGCAAGGTCGTGCAGGCGTTGCATCAGCGACTGCGAGTCGTCGTGGTCAAGCTGTGCACGCACACACGTGCGAGCTATGTTGTTGATGTCCTGCAGCGTGATGAGAGCTGCACGCTCCGTGCCCGCAAACGCCGACCGCAGGTTGTTGAGGACCTTCACGGGTGGGATGCACGCGGCAATCTGCGTGGCGATGAAGTCACGCAGGTTCTTGGGGATGGACGTGTGCTCGGGCGTGCACTTGTGGCTGTGGTTGCGCAGAAAGCGCACACGCACGCGCTTGTCGTCTGCAATGTCGATCCACATGCGCGCAAGGCACATACCGACGCCCTTGGGCAGCTTCTTGCGCCGCGGGCGTTTGTTGCGCGTTTGTGAGGGAGCGGGGCGGTTGCGTGCACACACGCGATACCGCCGCCCAACAACCTTGACACGCTGATTGTCTGTTGATGCGTTGTGTGTTTGTGTGTGTTTGTGTGTGTGTTTGTGTGTGAGGGTGAGATTAAGAGAGGGGGGAGAGAGTGTGTGTGCGTGTGTGTGAACGCGTGTGGATGCGGGGATACGCCAGACACATGCGTGTGTTGTTAGCGCTTCATGTCACATGGGCATAAGCAGGCAGACGCAAAAGGAGACTCACCCCAGGTCTGGTAGGAGTCTGTGGTGTGGTTGTACCGCAGGAGATACTCCGTGTACGTCGTGTCTTGTTCGTGGCGCAGCCAGTCCGAAAACGCGTCCATCGAAGGGAAATAGCGCACAGTGTAGTCTGGTGGTCGCGAAAGGGATGGGGAAAGAGGAGGCGAGTGAAGAGGAATTGAAGGAAGAGGTGAAGCATCCAGTGACATTGTATCATGTGTTGGATGCAGCACTAACAGCTCCACAAGCACACACACACACACACGTATGCACACATACATACACACATGTGCACACACATATGCACACACACATACACACATGTGCACACACACAAAGACACATGAGTACACACACATGAGTACACACACTCACACACACACACACACACCCACCAATGGAGTCCTCAAACTGGGCTGGGTGCTGCTCGCGGGTGTGTTGAATGAAGGAGGTGACAGACTTGAACGGGACCGTGTCGCAGAAGAAGCAGGGGAAGCGCGCATCGTGCTTTGGTGTAATCACCTCCTGAATATGCACGGTGGTGACAGCACGTACATGAGCAGCTGCAACATGCTCTCGCTGGTGTGTACTTTCAAAATGTAGCAAGCCTACAAGACACAACACAACGTATACACACGCAGAAACAGACCCCCCACAGACACAGACACACACACACGCACACAAGAGTGCCTTGCTCTTACGTCTGCGCGGTGCGGGTGGACTTCGCGGATGTGCCGGAAGAGGCCCGATTTGAAGGCGTATGCCTTTGCACAAAACGGGCAGTGGTGCGTCTTTGCTGCGGGTTTCAGCGTCTCCAGCAACTCGCGTGCGTTGGCGTGCTCCGTTTTGATGTGCTCCTTCAGCCGCTTGACAAGGTCAAACGTCTTGCTACACCCCTCCGCCGGGCACTTGCGCTCCACTTTGTCTGGAGTTACTCGCTTCTTTCTCTGCGCGCTGCGGCGCAGGCTTGGTGGCTTGGCCGCGCTCTCAGCAGCGGTAGTGGCAGCAGCAGCAGTGGCAGCAGCAGCAGTGGCAGCAGCAGCAGCAGTTTTGCCGTCATCGTCGGTGCTGTGCTCGGCGGCACCACTGTCACTACCACCGCCACCGCCATCGCTGGTTTTGCCCTGCTGCTTGTCTGCTGCGGCCGAGGACGGGACGTCGCCACTCTGCTGCTCCTGCTGTTGCTTTTGCCGTTGCTTGCCGGCTGGCTGCTGGCGCTGCTTGGGTTGTTGCTTCTCCGGCTGCTTCTCGCGCGTGTCCTCTGCCTTGTCCCGCTCTTCTCGCGACACACTGGCTGCCGCTGCTGTTGCTTGCTCAACGTCCCCTTCACCTTGTTGCTGGGTGTCTCGGTCTTCTTGTTGCTGTTGCTGCTGCTGCTGCAACAAACGCTGGTGCTGATGAAGCAAGTGCTGAAGAAGGTGCTGTTGTTCCTGTTGTTGCTGTTGCTGCTGCTGCTGCTTCTGTTGCTGTTGGTGTGAGGTGTCTTGTCCTGCTGTTGAACCGACGGGAGGGAGGCGAATATCAAACCCGGGCAGAAGCTGCGAGTCAAGCGCGGGTTGCAGCATGCGCAGGCGTTGATGCAGCAACAGCTGCTGTTGTTGAGGAAGGGAGGCCGCATAGGGAAGGTCGATGGCCTGCTGCTGGGCGGCAGCGTGCGTGTCCTGGAAGGTGGCGCCAGCGCTGGTGGATGAAGACGGCGCGGACAGGAACGGGTGAAACGGGTCCTGTACCATGTGGTGGTGAGGGTGTTGCGTCCCCAGATGAGCGGGCTGGGTTCCTGATAAGCCAGACATGGCGTAGACGGATGGGATGCGGTGCGAGCCGCTACTGCCGGTGCCGCTGCCTCCACTGTTGTCTGCGTGTCCGAGACCCATGTGATGCAGGCCCGATGTCGTTGGCCCACGGCTCAGCATTCCCGAATTGTGCGGAAGCCAGGGAGTAGAGGACGTGGTGATAGCAGCGGAGGAGGAGGAGGAGGAGGAGGAGGATGTGGCGGCAGGGCCGGAGTTGCGAGACATGTCCAAGGGCGGCAGGATGTCTGGGAGAGTGGGCAAGGATGCAATCGTACTGGAGGCGACGGCAGACGCAGGCGGGGCTGAGATCTGATGTGCTTGTGGTTGTTGTTGTTGTTGTTGTTGTTGTTGTTGTTGTTGTTGTTGTTGTTGTTGTTGTTGTTGTTGTTGTTGCTGGCGTTGTTGCAAGAGTTGGGCTGCTGCGCGCACAGTTGATTCCGGGATTGCAAGCACGACCGACGTCGAAGTGGCATCTTGCCCGCCAGGCTCCTGTAGTGGTGTGTCTGTTGTAGGTGCCGGAGCCGGTACACTCGCAGGCGAAACAGCGTCTGTGTGCGGTGCTTCTGCATTGGCATCACGGTTGTCGCTGCTACTACCGGCCGTTTCATCATCGTTACCGTTGTTGTTGTTGTTGTTGGCGGTGGTGGTGGGTGTTGTTGTTGTTGTAGTTGGCGTTGCAGGGGCAGGGTTTTGTTCCACCGCCTGCGACTGTGGCTCGTCCATCGTGTGTGTTGTTGTTTTGTGGGTTGGTGGTTTGTTTGCGCTGTGCGCGGATGGGTGCCGTTGGCGCGGTGGCTGTTGGTTTTTGTTTGGGTGTTGTTGTGTGGCTGGCCGTGATTTGATGGCTGGCTTGCGTGGTGGTGCGCTTTGCTGGATGTGGCAACGGCCACATAATTTCTCGTGGAATCCAACAAAGGCAAATTTTGCCATTCACTCCACAAAGGCAACTTTGACTATCGAGAGAGTAGCAGCAAAGAAGAAAGAGAGGAACAAGCAAAGCGAAGAAAAGCCAGCAAGCAAGCGAGGGAAAGGACAACGCAGACAAGGAACAGCAGAGACCAGCAACGGAGAGAAGACACAAGACACCATCGTCATCAACATGGGAGGTGCAACGAGCGTGTTGGCTGGTGCGGCGCAGGAGCTGTCCTCGCGCGTGGATGTGATTGAGATGCAGGATGAGGCCTTCTGGTCCAAGTTCTGGCCCACAGAGGAGGCCATCACAAACGAAGAGGTTCGGCGTGTTGTGGTTGTGATTGTGTGATTGTAGTCGAAGTTGCGGTTGTGGTGTTGGCTGTGGTTGGAGTTGTGGTTGTTGTTGTGGCTGGGGTTGGAGATGGCAATGCAAATGCTTGTTTGCTTGCTTGTTTGCTTGTTTGCTGGTGTGCTTGTTTGCTTGTGTGCTTGTTTGCTGGTGTGCTCGCTTGAAGAATTGTGAGTCCGATCGTGCCGCAACGACACACACACACACACACACATACACACACACACGATCACACACACATACACACACACGATCACACACACACACACACTCACGCAACAGCTGTACAAGGCATTCACGTCTGATGCGCTGCGGGAAGTGCGGTCCAAGTGTCCCAAGAACCTTGCAACGCTGATTCGCCGCGCAGTTGTCACGCTGGCGGCGCACACGCGACAGGGCGCTGTGGCAAGCCAGGAAGCAAAAGTCCAAGGTGGGTCGAATTGCGGCGGCTGTGGCAGGTCATGAGCTGGTGTGCTTTGTGTGGTGTGATGTGCACGTTCTGCACGTTGTCTGCACCACTGTATATTCTCCGTTGTGTACGAGTCGTGGCGCCACATACTTGTTTGCGTATGTGCACGCACTCACAGGCGTGGCACCGCCAATCTCCCGTTGCGGCTCTGCGTGCTGCTCGTTGCAGTGGGCAACATCGTGCGGCTGTTGACCCGCGTGCTTCCCATCATGTTCGAGGACCCGTCGTGGGAAGACTTCTGGCTCACCGCCACCCCCATTGGCGTCGCCGTTTCTCTGGTACGCCATATTCTGACGGCGCTCAACCTCAGCGCTGACAGCGTTCACGTGCCTGCACACGCACAGTCACGTGCATTTACATGCACACATGTACGCGTGCAAACGTGACACAAGTTAGAACACCACCGCATGCGCTCTTGTCCTTGGAGGTGTGGAGCCTGCCTGTTGAGCTTACACGCAAAGCACTATGATGCCCACATTGCACGTCTGCACGCATACGCACATCAGCCGGAAGGGTCGATTGAGGACGGGTATGTGAAAGGATGCCCCGACAACGTGAAGCAGGAGGCAATTCTGCAGCGGCAAGCGGACCTGGAGGTGGCCGAGATGCCGACCAACCCGCCACCGGCCCTCTTTGAGACCCTCCTCATGGCCGTCCTGGTGCGAACAAGCACGCACTCACACATGTGGTTTACACAAGCCACACCTGTTTTCATGCACACACACACACACACACACACACACACACACACACACAAGATGTGTTGTTGGCGTGCCTTGTTCGTTTTTGGGCATTGCTGGTTGGTATGGGCTCTGATTTGCTACGCATGCCCGTGCACTCATTGCGTACATGCGTGCATGCATGCTCACCACACGTGTGCACATCATCACCTTCAACAGGATCTGATGTTCGCACCAGGGTACAGCGTCCTCAAGAACGTGGTGTGTGTTTGCGCGCGCGTGTGCGTGCGTGCGTATGTGTGTGTGTGTGTGCGTGTGTGTGTGTGCGTGCGTGTGCGTGCGTGCGTATGTGTGTGTGTGTGCGTGTGTGTGTGTGTGCGTGCGTGTGTGTGTGCGTGTGTGCGTGTGCGTGTGCGTGTGCGTGCGTGTGTGCGTGCGTGCGTGCGTGTGGTGATGCTCCCCCCCCCCGTTTTGCTTCAACAAATGTACTTATTCGCGTCTCCCACGCGCGTCCATGTGCTCATCTCACGTGCACATCTCCCACTTCCCCATGCGCAACAGCGGTCGCTGTCGTTTGGCTCAACATATCCTGTCGCCTGCCGTCCACTCGCCGCCATCCACGCCCTCGACCTCACCTGGTGCTGCACACCACATGCCCGCTCGCATGCGCTGCTGGTGGTGGTGGTGGTTGTGTCTGCTCCACGGTGAATAACCATGCATGAACAGCACATGAATAGCGCGTTTTTAGGACAACCACACACACACACACACACATGCACATACTCACTCTCGCTGACATCACCGTTACGCCCCCCCCCCCAATTCCCACTACGGCGTATCAGGTACACGGGCGTTGAGGCGAAGGCAGCGTCGGCAGAGCGGCCCAAGTTTGTGCAGCGGCGGTGCGATCTGCTGCGTCTGCTGCTGGCGTGCTTCTCCCGCCCGCTGTATCACCACCACCACAGCCTGGATGTGCGTGCCGACCCCTGGCTCACCTTTGTCGCAGGTCCGCTGACGTTGAACGTTGAACGTTGTATGTTGAATGTTGTTTGTTGGATGGTGCTTGTTTTGAATGTTGACTGGCAGGGGATTGCGCCTGGGGTGGGCGTGGGTGATGTTTTCTCAGGCGACCACTTCAAGCCTTGCTGCTGTCTCATTTATTCGACTTGTGTGTGTGTGTGTTTTCGCGTGTGTGTGTGTGCCGTGTGTCACAGGCGGGTCGCACCGCAACACGCTTGTGATTGTGCGCTCGCTGCTGAATGCGCTGTGCTCGTACGATCCAATTGGCTACGGCTTGCCCTACAATTACGTCATGATGCCGGACGACGACCGCGACAAGCTTGCACAGGTGATTGAGCATTCGTGTCTGCTTGTTTGTTTGTTGTTTGTTTTG